TATATTAAACATCTCTGGCCATTGACTGAACACATGTGGCATTAATATTGGTGACGTGGAATGATGCGTGATTCCACGCGTTTTAAAGCAAATATGTATAAAATTTATATGAAAAATAAATAAAATCTTAAAAAATAAATAAATGAAAACACCCAAAAGAAGAAGAAGAAGGGGAAGTCATCTTCTTCGGAGCACTCTGTGTCGCTGCTGCATCCCCCCCCCCCCCCCCCCTTAAACCAAATTTCTTAAACTCATTCCACTTCTTTCGTTGGATTCACCCACCATTTCCTTCTTCTTAACACCCCACCTCCCGCACACTGTCCCACCCCTAAATATTTTCTTAAAATTCATTCGTTTTGCTGCAAATCAACATCCCTCCTAGTTCTTTTCGTTTTGCCATCTTTCTTCTTTGAAAATCTCGATTTCGTGCACATTCTTTGGTGATAATGGGTATTAAAAAATGAAAAACTTCATTGATAAGCTTAATGAAGCTTCAAGAATAACAAATGGGTTTTGTGAATTTATGAAATAAATTTAAATTTGTATAGAGATTTGTTGGGTTTGTGTTTGTGAACCAATATGTAAAATTCAAGTTAAATAAGTAAGAATTCCACCCATTTGACATAAATTTGGTGCTCAATTTGAGAGCAAAAATGGAGAAAATAATGTTCAAAATTTCCAGGATACACTTTTTATTTTTATTTTATTTATTTAATATTTAATTTCTTATGTGTCATTAAAAATGACGTGGAATCCTATGTGTAAATGAGTGTACCACACGCACACATAGGATGAGGAAAGGGTTTAAAATATTGTGTTTCAGTGAGTTCAAGGGTTTAGTTGAAAAAATTGTAAGTATAAGGGTCCAACTTACAATCAGAACCAGGTCATTCCGCCTTAATCAAAAGGGACACTTTGATCCCTGTGCAGTGACATATGTTTCTGAATTAACTACCGTTAACGGCGTAAGATACATGCTCATCTCACTGCACAATCAGCGAGATATGTTTTGTGATTTTATTTTTTAAATTCTCGATGCCTCGGCAATGAGTTTGAAACAATTTTTTTATAAAAAACTATCGTTTTCTTAGTATACACTTGATCATTCTTGCAACTTTTCAACCTTGATCATTTCCATGTTCATTAACTTATAACCATACTAAAGTTTTCTTCTTACTCTACTTTGCAGGATAAAGAAATGAAGTGTGTTGAATTGATTCAAAAATTGTCTTTGCCAAGAGGCTTTGTTAAAGTTCCAAGTGCTTCTTCAATCTCATATGTTCCTCAGAGTCCAATTGAGCTACTATGAAAAGGTAGGGTAAAAGATGAAATATAATTATTAAATTATAAGTAAAGATAAATGAGAAGAAAATATTAAGGTAACGATGCGATAACACCAAATTGGTCATTACATAATATGGGTCTTTTTGTTATTACATAACGATGGATTTAAACGATATAATACAATAGAATTTAAGTAATAATCAAAACAAACATTGTTTTTAAACAAACAATAAAATACAATACAACGGGTAACAACCATCCAAACAAGGTGTTAGAGATGGATGATTATTATTGGTGTTTGGTGTGGAGGAAAACATTTTCCAATTTTCACATGTTTGGTTGGCTTAAATGTTTTTCCAAATCAATTCATTTTCCTCAAATTTAAGGAAAATGACTTCCCTTCCAAAATTAAGGAAAATATTTTCCAAAACTCTACTTCATCCTTTAATTTATTTTCTTATCCTACCCATAACCCGGAACCGACCCTCCCCAAATTTTAAAAAAAATCCATTTTTACGCCACCAAAACCCCGCCACCATCCATGCCACCCCATAAAAAAAAATTGTTTTTGAAAAACATTTCACACTTTAATTTTTTTTCATTTTTTATGCCACACGCCCCCGACCCCCTCAATTTTTTTGAGAAAAATACACGGTTAAGCAAACGTATACTACTTAATTACTCAGTATAGTTATAGTTTGCTATAATTACTACTCGCGACTAACATTAACCATTAATTACATGGATGACTTCGAGTTTGTATAATTAGCCACGTTTGTGCATGTATTATTCGCCACATTTGTATAATTTGCAACTAACAATTCTTTGTTTGATTTGTATTTGTATATGATTGTTTGTATTTGTATATGACAAGGATTTCCTTTGGATTTTCAGTTTTGTCATCATATACATTCAATTTTGTGTATAACTTTTTAAAGTTTGTATCATGTAGTTTTTGGATTTTGTATAATATAATTTATATAATATATTTTGTATAATTGTTTAAAGTTTATATGTTTATGTTTGTATAAATTTGTTATTTTGAGTTTTATTATATCTATATAATTCTAGATTTTATATTACTCAATTATACAAAAACACGTGAATTATACAAACGTACCTGCGAATTATACAAACGAGATGTGAATTATACAAATTATTGTCATCTCTCGCTCGCCTCTCTCCTCTCTCTCCCAATTTCGCTCGCCTCTCTCCTCTCTCTCCCAATCTCGCTCGCCTCTCTCCTCCCTCTCCCAATCTATCTCGCCAGCATATACAAATACATATGTATAATATACAATTATCTAACCGATATACATATACAATTCACCTCTCTCCCACTCTCTTCCCTCCCTCGCTCGCCTCTCTCCTCCCTCTCCCAGTCTCGCTTGCCACTCTCCTCGCTATAATATGTAGCTACAAATCGTAATTAGCAAACTATAGTTATGGAGCGTAATTAGGCTATTTTTGAGTGGCTATATGCGAAAGTTCCTCTTTTTTAAAATATAAATTGTTTTTGAGAAAAAATTTCCTAGGTCGAAAGTCTAGGTCAGGTCCTGGGTCAGATTTCACGGTCGGATTTTGGAACGGTCATCGGGGTCTTGTCCGAGTTTAGGTATCGGGGTCGGGTCCTAGATCAATTATGGGAGTTGATTTTCGAATCAAAAGTTATTTTCCTGAAAAGTACTTTTTAGTCTCAAGCCAAAAATAAAAAATATTTTCTGAAAAATATTTTTCATTCACTAACCAAACATGAAAAAATAAGTTAGAAATTCATTTGTTTTCCAAGAAAACATTTTCTAGGAAAACAGTTTCTTCTGTATCAAACACACCCTAAGTGGAAGAAGGCCTTTTGTCAATTTATTATGACATAGTTGAATGAGAGTTTTTGGTGTGATCTTTTCAGAATGCAATGTACCCCTATACTTGCCTCAAATTGTCAACTGGACCCTTCTACTCACGATATTGCTAACTGAATATTTAAACTCAATGAAACACAATCTTTTAAATCTTTTTGACTTCACGTGCACTTCAAACACACAATGAAAATGACATGTCAGGATCCACATCATACTTCTAGTGACACGTCACCTATTTTAACTTTATTTTAAGAAATTTAATTTTTTATCTTTTCACTTATTTTTTACTTATTTAAAATTTTCATTATTTTTCTTTTTCTCTCCGTTTCTTCCTCACACTAACTTTATCATTAACCATCTCCCTCCATTTTTTTTCACCAAAGACGCCATTGTCATCTTACATCCTTTTTCCTTACTAGTTATTACTACCTTAAATAACTAAAAAATATCATTTTTCTCCAAGTTTTCATCATTCATAATTTTTCGTCATATTTTTTTTACCAAGGTCTTCATCCACCACTTGAATCATTGTGAATCTTTTTCCTCCATTAATGCCAATGAACCACACTAATATATCTTAATATATTCTAATATATATACATGTTCCACTTAATTTTACAAAGACATACAATAATCATTCTTCACTCTCCAAAATAATCAGATCTCTATCACCTAGCCGCCTGTAAATTACCCCTCCCCATTCCCCCAATAGCTTCTCTTCATATATTTTTATCTCACAAAAACTGAAGCAACTACTTCTGGAAAAGGATTTCTGAAATACTTCTTACAAACATATTAAAGATTATAAAAATGGGGAAATGGAGCAAGAAAGAAAAATCAGGACTAGGTGGGTGGGGTGGGGGGGGGGGGACCCACAGTGATGTTGGGTAGAAAAGAAAAGAAAATGGGAAAAAGAAGATTTGTCCTTCTATTTACTCCCTCCGTCCCATTTTATGTGGCAACATTTGACCGGGCACGGAGTTTAAGAAATAAATGAAGACTTTGAAATGTTTACCAAATTGCCCTTTTAAAAAGTAGACTCAATTTCTCTCTCCTCATAAATGTATTGGAGTATTATTTTAAAATTAAGTGGGACCAACAAGGATAAAAAAGGAATTGTACCTTTAAATACTTTCCTTATAAGGAAATGTGACATTCTTTTTGGGACTGACCAAAAAGGAAATGTTGCCACATAAAATGGGACGGAGAGAGTATTTTTTCTTTTCTTTTAATTAATTTTAGTCTCAATTTGTTTTTTACACTCCTTTAATGCATGAGATCACACATTTGTTCCATCTCGACTATTAAGTTGCCACATAGGATTGGTCAACGGTCAGAGGGATTTAAAATATTGTGTTTCGTTTAGTTTAAGTGTTCAATTGACAAAGTCATGAGTAGAAGGGTCTAGTTGACAATCCGAGTCAAGTATAAGGATCTCTCAAGTCATTCTGCCAAAAAAGAAATTATTAAAAAGTGTAACTCGCTTAGCAAGAAGCTACTTTTTTTTTTTTTTTTTTTTTTGACAAACTCGCTGCTTGGCCAATAAGAATTACAAAAAATAAAAATAAAGAATCGCAAAACATATCTCACTGATTGTGAAAGCGAGATGGCTATAGAAACATATCTCGCCACACAGGGAGCAAAGTTTCCCATTTGGTTAAATTAAAAACTGAGTGATCGTTTATACATTTTGAAGGAAAGAAGTGAATTTTGGCTCCGAACTCTGTAAATGAAAGGTGGAGTTGGAGAAGTGAGAAGAGAAAAGGAGAAGTTATAATGGTGTGGGATCCACAACATGTATTTTTATCAATTAAAAAAATCCCTCACACAACTATGACATGATATGCCTCACCCACCATAAATTTTTTCATGGGTTCCTTTCGGCATAATTTACGACAGATATATTCTTTACTTCGCAAGCACCTGGCAAACATCTCTGCCGAACAACCCAAAAAAATTTAAGACTGCCACTGCTAGGAAAACTATTGAAAGCAGCAGGGTAACACAAACAAACTACAAAATCCTTCATTCAGCCCAAACGGATATTTCATTCTCCAGCAACAATTTGTTTGAAAGCTATATCTAATAACGTAGATGGAGCAGGTCACTTAGAAAATTACAAACACTTGATACTCTGGAAATTGTTTGAGAAAGCAACACTCCTGGAACTCATTCTTCCATAGCATCTCCACCTTCAATCACCTCTACCATCTCTCTCAATGGTATACTCTTTGTAAGAAGAACTTCTGTAACCACAATTCAACTAACCACATTAGTGAAGTCCAGGCAAAATGCTAAGCATTTTTCAGACACTAACTTAAATATTTTAACAAGGTCTTCCTTGGGCCCTGACAAGTATGAGAATACTAACCAGTCTTTTTAGGGAATGAGTAACCCTTCTGTGGATAGGTCCGAGGATTAGGCGACATATGATTCCTTAAGTACTCCGTGTGACCCTAACAAATCAGCATACAAGTTGAAATACTAGCAAAATAGAACATACGTAGAGTCATGAATGATAAGTTGAAAAATTTGTCATTGATTGCTAAAAGGAGATTAGACCTTTGTTATCACACAGATATCAACATTGCTTCCACTACCAAGATCATTGAACACCCCAGACAATATTGCCTCCGCTACTAGCTTTATCCCTTCATCTTTCTGAACCAAGATTCCATTTCAACATTTTAATAATTTACAATGTATAATAGAGGCCAGATTCAGTGGACTGAACATAGCTGCAGAAAATGAACTTACACTTAACCCTTCCTGGTATTTTGACTCAAAGATAGCCATAGCTGCAAGGGAACCAGAGCCCATTGTAGCATATGGCAGAGTATCAGTTGATCCATGTGGATAAATCTGAGAAGAGGCCATTAACCAGCAACATTTCAGGATTTTAACAATGGAAAAAATAAGAATATACTAAGGCGAATCAAACACAAGACCACTCACAGTATGCAGATGTGGCCCTGAGACATCAACCCCACCAAGGACCAAAGCAGCTGAGACGTGCCCCTGATAGCTGGTTAAGAGAGCATAGTTAAGCCTCTGTGTTAGCAATTTAATTGCACGGAAAGAAATAATTTCAACATTAAAATATATGTTTCACCTGAATAGATGAGACTTCAAAAGAGTGAGAGCTGTCACAACCCTGGATTCACGACCAGTGTGATACCTGTGAAGCTTCAGTTGGGAATTGACCATGTCTACAAAATAGCAGTTGCTACTTAAGGTGTGAGAGAGACACAGAGTAGGATTTGAAACATGAAAGAGATGTTACCATCGATAACGGAATTACATGAATATCAAACTCAAATTACCAGTTACTGCCTCAGTATCAGCAGCTGTTCCTGCTCCACAGCAATATATGTTGGGGGCAATGTAATGAATCTTCTCACAGTTCTTATCAGCAACAATCGGTCCTTCAGTGGCTCGTGTATCTGCTCCAAGAATGACGCCATCCTGGAATACAAAAGATATTCTTAAGCTGTTACATAAGAATCACTTGCAAAATCAGCTGGTAAAACATGCACCAATCATGGACTCTTAAAGGCCACATTTTCCTCACAAAAGATTTAAAGATGTATATTACACATAGCTTCCTGAGTCTGCTGATCCCTTGTGCAACATCTCATGGATAATCAATCACACAGTCATTCAAGAAAGCTATATCACCCTTAAACTAAAAAGAAATGAAGATGCAGGTGTATCTAAGATACTGTGAAGGGGAGAAAAAGAAAGAAAACCATATAAGAATGGAATTTTTTTTTGACAATTAGCACTCAGCAATGCAGTTAGCTATGTATATGGTTCATAATTTCTTTATGGAAGATAGCCTCAAGCTAAAAGCTAATGCTTCTATCACTAAAGACTGAGGGTGGTGGCTTTGCAGTGGTTGTAATTGCAAAGTGATGCTACTAGTTTTGGAAGATTCTTGTTCCTGTGGCTGAGAAGTCAAACCACACCCTTCTTTACTATTCCCTTGATGAGAGGTAAGCTCTAGAATTGGTGGACAGTCCAATCTTTTCTTTTCTTGAAGTTTAGCATGGAGCGGAGCTACTTCTGCCACAAATTCATACTAAACTCAATGCTTGGCAGGGAGATATAGGGGGTCTTTGCAAGTATATCTATCATATAGATGAAACGAGTTTCATCCTATATTTTGTCGAGTTACTCATAAAATATTCCAATTGGAAAAAAAATAGTAGTAGAACAAAGTTTTTTGATGACCAGTAGAACAAAGTTACAAACATTAACTGCAAACATGCTTGACTCTTGATAGCTCTGTTTTTCATGACATTCGTGCCATGGCCAGATATTAATCACAAACCCCATATCTGAGTTGTTGTTTTTTTTTTTTGAGAAGGCAACATTTTGTATATATTTATCAAAATAGCACTTAGGTTGTGCTGAAACCATAGTTACAACTGAAAAAGAAAAAAACTGCTCCGGAAACCTTAACAAAAACTACGGTGTCTATAGTTGAAACAATATCTTCTATGTGTTTCTAGTTAGATCAAAAACAGAAAGGTCTAAAGCAATTCAATTTAATCCTCTGAACTGAACTGCTGACGTCTTCTAAACATCTGAAATTTCTCTCTTTCTAGATTGTCCACCAAACGCAAGTTGGGACAATCCACCACCATCTATCTTTGTATGTCGATCCTACACCTGCTTCTTCCCAGCTGAGCAAGACCTCAGTAATCTTCATTGGCATTGTCCAAACAATACCTCTAAGACTAATGAAGATCTTTCACAGCATGTCTGCGATCCTACAGTTTAGAAATAAGATAGCTGACTGTCTCAGTTTCACACACGTGTAGCACTTAGAGCAAAGGTTGACTTTTCTCTTTCTAAGGTTTACATAAGTCAGCACCACTTCCATGGCTAACAACCAACTAAAACATGCTACTTTGTAGGTGTTTTAACTTTCCAGATGTTCTTCCATGGCCAGTTGTCCACTTGCTGCATGTCTCTGCTAAGAAGCTTGAGAAAACCCCGAAATGTCCGCTACCATGTACTTGCCACTAAAGTCTATCATATCTCTCCTGTGTAGCTTTGAATTCTTCCCGTGTTCTATACAACTCAACTAATGTATCCACTTCCCAATCATTTTGATTTCTTCTGAATGTACACAACTCTACAAATGCTCCATCTACTGTTTTCTCTTACTGTAGATCCAGGGAATAAATGTTTGGAAAGAGATCCTTTAGAAAAGAATTGGCAAGGCATTTGTCCCTCCAAAAAGATGTATTGCAGCCATTAAATACCCTGATAGTGGTGTGAGCCTTCATCAAAGGCCAATTCTTCTTATGGATCTCCATATGGTGAATTTACTTCCTTGTTAGCCGGACCATATTTAGCTCTTACTATTTGTATTGCCCAATTTTTTTTAAAATCCTCAGCAGCCTCCACCTCCAACCTTTGATGAAAAAAGAAAACCTCTCCTTACTTTTTTATTTTTCCCCAAAAGAACAAACTTATTTCTCTATTTTACCTTCCATTTTACATAGGTGTTGGCAATTAGATAAGCTGAGGATCTACCTTCCAAAGAAAAAATCCTCTCTACCACCAAACATCACCTTTCATATATTATGATTCTCTTTGCAATTAATTAGGTTGAAAGATCTACGAGGGTGGGGGTGAAGATGAGGTGCGTTGGAGGGTGGGGAGGACAAAATCAATGTGGAACTTGTTTTCCCTACTTCCACTAGGGAAGTTATTTTCCTCATTTTAAGGTTCTTGTGTTTCCTAGAAAAACTGCTTTCCAAGAATCTTGACCAACCGAACATGAGAAAATTGGAAAACATCTTCCTCCATACTGAACAGACCCTGAATTGTACTTTTTAACAACTGATATAGGTTAACTGCCTTGGCAAGAATATACTTACATCTGCTAATGAAGATTGGGAAGATCAATAATAATGAATGGTCAAATTCATGGTTCTATTCAGTTTCAAAAAAAAAAAATCCTAGTTTCAAAAACATGGTTCTATTCATCCCACAAATAACTTGGTGAGAGCTTGTCAAACATTCCCTTCATAGGACTCCAAGGGAAAATATAGGCAGAGTTTTATCTATTTATATGATACTCAGTAAGGCATTATGAACTCCATACTTCAAAGCAAAATGAAGTAAGGAAGGGGAAGGAAAGACAAGAAGAAATCCTAAGTCACAAATCCAATATTTTTTCGGTGTACTAAGCAACTTTAGAGCATCTCCAACCCTACACTCTATTTTACTCTTCAAATATAAAATTCTCTATTTTTTCAGATAACCAACTCCAACTCAATTCTCTATTTTACTCTCTTAAAAAGGAATCTCTTCTCTCTCTCCTCAATATTATATTATTATTTCTATTTCATTTTTATTTTCTTATTTCATATATAAATCCTTTATTTTTTCCCCAATAAGTACTTTATATAATTTTCATGTGATATAAAATTTTATTTTTTCAAATTTTTTATTTAATATAAAATTATATTTTATTCTAAATTTTTAAATAACATAAATTGCAAGAAAATATTATATATTATACAAATTAATGGACAAATTCAAATAAACGTGAAATACAATTACATAAATACTCAATTTTTAATGCATTAAAGAGTTCAAAATGAGCATTTTTGTCCTTAATTTTTTTTAATATCTAGCTAAATATTGTTCAAACCGGAGATTTTCATCTACCACCATTTTTGTCGTTGGAGTTGGAGTGCTACAACATCTTGAATTGGTGTATTAGGATCACGTTCATCTTTAATTATCATGTTGTGCAGTATAATACATGTAGTCATTATATCATGTAGCACTTCCTTTCTCCAAAAACGTGACGGTCTTGCAATAATTGCAAAACATGATTGCAAAACTCTGAATGCACGTTCAACATCTTTTCGGCATGATTCTTGTTTTATCACGAATTAATTATTATGTTATATATTGTATTTTATCTTGTATTTAAATTATTATGTTATGTATTGTATTGTTATTTTGTATTTAAATTATCATATTATGTATTGTACTTTAAAACTAAAATTTTCATCTTATCATTTTAATTTTGTGTATTCTTTATAGTGAAAATTAATAGTAAAATTAAATTATATTATTGAAGAAAATTAGAAAAAATTAAAATACTATTAATTCGGGATGAAAGTAGTATATATTAAATAATATATTTTTTAAAATATTATATTACATTTAAAAAGAATTGTATATTAGATATTTAATTAATGACATTATATGTAAAATAATATGTTAATTAGAAGTAATAGAAATATAAATAAAATAATCAAAAAGTGAAATAGAGAGTGTGAATAGTAATTCTCCAAATTTGGAGAATTACTATTCACCTCTCTATATATGAAGAATAGAGAGTGATATGGAGATGGGTTGGAGTGTCAATTCTCTATTTTACTCTCCAAATATAGAGAATGGAGAGTAAAATAGAGGTGGGTTGGAGATGGTCTTATTACTTCATCTCCTCTTCTTTGTGTCCTTCAAAACAAGAGTGTAGGTATTAAATGAAAGATGATACCTTCCAGTAGTAGCCAGCATTTTTAATCCTTCAGAACGTTGGCACACAAAAATCTCCATGCCTAAAATAAAATACTCTTTTTCCTCTTTTCTCTCCCTTATTACTCCAAATTTGTCAAAGGATCTCTAATCAAGAAAGACAAGTTTTTAATGGTAAGGCAAAGTTGTTTTGCTTGGGAAGTTTTCACACAGAAAAATCCTTTTATCATATGCTTCCAAAAGCTGAACATTTCGATATCAGTAGCAGAATATTCAGAATAGATACAACCTATGAAATCTATTTCAGGTTCAGCACATACAATCGAATGCATATGAATGCTTCTATCTTAAGAAACTTCAAAAGCAATGAAATAACTCTCTAATGTAGTTAGTAAAACCATAAAAATCTTGTCCAAACAAATGAAAACAAACAATTAATTAGAGAGTCATTAACCACTCTTCTCAAATGACTTAGGCCTGAAATGATCTCTTTCCCAACTAAATGAAAAGATTCTGAAATAATACTCTCCATGTTGTACTGCAAGCAAATGACCCAAACCAAATGTCTTTTTCTCCCTTAAATAAATAAAAAAAAAAAAAAAATCTGCATAAAATTTTTGCATCTACAGTAGGCAAATGCTAACGCCCTGTGCCTATAACACAACACTAAGGTTTGGATCAGTTGCGCCACTGTAGATACCAAATAACTTTGTCCACGATATATTGCAAGAGATCACCTACCTTTTGTTTTCAATGCTTGTTTTAATTCAAACAAACCAATAATAGGATTCCCCCGTTTTTAGGTTCAATGTATAAGGGTTTAGCTAGACGGTTTCAAGTGAGCCAAAATAATTAAATAAAAAAAAAAAGGGAAGAGGTAGTGTACCTGAAAAATTAAGCCAACGATGGTAGTACCAGTCTTGAGGAAAGAAGGAGAGCGAAGTCCTTTATTCACCAGCATCTCATTCCTTCTGCACAAATCAAAACTAAACCCACCCTTCAAAGGAACATCCTTAGACGCCATTACACACTGAAAACACACTCTTGATTACAAAAGGAGCAGAGTTTGCGTTGATGATTCGAAACCAAAGAGCTGATCTTGTAAATTGGCCAAGCCTTGGAGAATAAGAAAACAAGCGCTGATTTTTGTTTTGGGCTCATTTTCAAGTTTTATTCGACCCGATATGGCACCCTACCAATTCAAGTGCTGACTATGTGTCGGGTCTTTTTTTTTTTTCTTAATTAATGAAAATCTAGTTAAAGTTCAGCTCTAAACTTTTTTTTATTGCGTCCAAAAAATTTGGTGTTGCCATGACGGTAAATTTTTTGAGTGCATGTCATGAAATGATCTCTTTTGTACTCACGTAATATTTTACATATCGTATTTGATTTGTCATTGTTGATTTTGTGAAATTTTTTAAATGAGAAGTCATTTTCGGATATGGTTTCAAGAATTTCTATGTTACTTGTGTATTTTATTCTCTCACTATCATACATTGAATGTTTTTAGTAAAGATACACTGAATAATATTTGATTATTAAGAAACAATGAACACTATGTATAATGAATTTATTTTTATAATGAATTATTGAATTCTTGAATTTATTTAATGAATCATTTAATATATATATATATATATATATATATATATATATATATATATTACAACGAATCATACACATATATTGTACTTTATGTATGATGAATTTATTTTTATATGAATTCAATAAATATGATATATAATTTAATAAGATGCAATAATTTTGAAGTATTCATTTTACTTTATGTATAATAAATTTATTTTTTATGTGAATTCAATAAATATGATACATAAATTAATAAGGTACAATGATTTAATCAAAATAAGCTTCATTGAATCTTAAAACACTCTTGAATTTAGTGAGGTCTTACTGTAAATCTTTTTAGAATATATTTATCTCGGGGCATAAGTTCAATAATATCTACTACTCCCTCCATTTCAAAGTAAGTAAATTATTGAGGCAATGGACACCCATTAAGAAAAAAAGTTTAGGACATAAAATAAACATCACTTTTTTTCTTTCTTTTTTTTTTCCACCAAATAAACATCACTTTCCACTTTTGTCTTTTAAATATTTTCAAACTATAGTTTGAAAATATAAATAATGTAAAGTAAAATCATAAAATGAGCAATTAACTTTCTTGAAATTGTCACCTACAAGATGTAAATGAGGGGCAAAAATGAAATGAAAGGACGCAATTGAAGCATAATTGACTTCACTTGAGAAACGTGAAGTTTTCGAATCAATAATCTGAACACCTGAAGGTATCAAACCAGTGGGATACAAATGGGTTTTTGTGCAAAAACGAAATGAAAAAGGTGAAGTTGTAAGATATAAAGCATGACTTGTGGCCTAAAGATTTTTTCAAATGCATGACATTGACACTACTAAAAAATTATCGAAAAACGATGGCCAAAAGCGACGGACTGCGTAGCTTTTTTTTATCAAAATCGACGGAAAAGCAACGCAGTCATGTTCACCGCTTTTAAAAAAGCGACGGACAGCGTCGCAAAAAAGCAACAGACTTCGTCGCTTTCTGATTTTTTACAGGATTTTTTTTGTGTCATTATTTGTTCAAGAATGAACATGAAAGCAGTGAAAATGCTAGAGATTCATTTACAAGAGATGGTTTTAGGTGTTGGAACAAAGCTTTAGAAAGATTCAAAAAACATGTTGGTAAGGTAAATAGTATCCATCATAAATATTTCAATAGGATGCAAGATTTGATTAACCAAAGGCAATCGGTCCAATCTTCTTTTGACAAGCAAAGTGAAGCAAGAAGTGATTATCGGACGCGTTTAAATGCCTCAATTGATGTAGCAAGATCTCTTTTGACATCGGAATATTCATTTTGTGGACATGATGAAAGTGAAGGTTTCGAATATAAAGGTGTTTTTCTTGTACTTTTGAAATGATATGGGAATAAAAATTTTGATGTGGGAAGAGTAATATTAGGTAATGCTCCACAAAATAATATGATGATTTGTCCGACAATTTAAAAAGATATTGTGGAGGCTTGTGCTAAAGAAACTACTAAGGTTATCATCGAACACTTGGACGATGATTATTTTAAAATATTAGTTGATGAATCAAAGGATGTCTCTCATAAAGAGCAAAGGGCTCTGATTTTGAGATATGTCAACAAAGTGAAATGGTGATAGAGCGATTCTTGGGTATTGTCCATGTAAATGATACATATTCTCACTCATTAAAAAAGACAATTTATTCTTTGCTTTTGGATCACTCATTATGTACATCCAAAATACGTGGTCAAGGTTATGATGGGGCTAGTAATATGCAAGGGTAAATAAATGGTCTCAAGTCTTTGATTTACAAGATACGTCATCTGTATATTCTATTCACTGTCTTTCTCACCAATTACAATTGGCACTAGTAGGTCTTTCCAAAGGAAATTCGGATGTGGATAATTTTTTTATGTTCTCACTAATATTTTGAATACTATTGGAGCTTCTTTTAAACGCAGAGATTCACTTCGACAACATCAAGAAGATAAGTTGGAAGAGTTGCTTAAATTTGGAAAAGTTCATACAGGACAAGGTTTGAATCAAAAACTTGACCTCCAACGACCGGGTGATACTCATTGGGGGTCTCATTTTAAAACCTTGGACAATTTTATGATTATTTTTTCTTCAATTGGTAATGTGCTTAAGGATATTAAACGTGATTGTCCATATCATCTTGATAGATTTGCAGCGGAAAATCTTTTGAGCAAGATTCATGAATTTGAATTTGTCTTTATGTTGCGCTTAATGTTTAAGGTATTTTTATTGACAAATGAGTTGAATAAAGTCTTACAGAAGAAAAAAAAGATATCGTTAATGCTCTGGAGTTGCTTAACTTTTCAAAGAAACGATTGCAAATGATGAGAGAGGATGAATGAGACTCTATGATGGGACTAGCTTATTTTGTGGTAAACATGGTATTTCAATTCCCAAAATGGTTGAAGACTACTCTAATGAAAAGTCGAAGCGTAAGAGGTCCAATATTTCATATTTGCATCACTTTCGTGTGGAAGTATTTTATGTCGTCATTGATTTGGAACTTCAAGAGCTCAATTATCGTTTTGATGTGGTGACTAGTGACTTACTCATCGGTATGACAAGTTTGAGTTCGGTTGATTCATTTGCTATTTTTCATAAGGATAGGATAGTGAAACTAGCCGAGTACTATCCAAGTGAGTTTGGTGATAAAGAGCATCGGGAACTTAATTTTCAACTCAATAATTTTATTGTTTATTCTCAAAAGTGTGATAGCAATTTTCTCAACTTGAAGGGAATCAAGGATCTTGCAAGAGTGATGATAGAGATAAAACCAGATCAAACTTGATCACTTGTGTATTTCCTTATGAAGCTAACTTTGTTTATTTTTGTTGCTATCGCAAGCGTGGAAAGAACATTCTCGTCAATGAAGTACAGAAAGAATGATTTGCGTAATAGAATGGATGAAGATCTTTTGAATGGTCGTTTAGTTTGCTATATATAGTGTAGTAAATTTTATAATGTAAGTAATGATGTCATTATTGACAGTTTTCAAAATATGAAAACTCGTCGAGGACAATTGTAAGTGAATGATGTTTTTTGCTAATATATTACAATATAAGGATTGTTACTTGGTCGTCAACTTGTGTCATTGTAATTTTATACAATTGAATTAAATGTCTATTTTGAAGATAATGGTGTTCTCATGTTCTTGAGATTCTGGATACGCCTCTAATTGAGTAGTCCAATGGTTGTGAGATCTCTTGATATTAATAAAGATCCATTCCGACATCATGAAAATGGAGGAGAACTTGTTGGTGCTAAAATACCATATCTTAGTGCAATTGGTGCATTAATGTATCTTGCTAATAATTCTAGACCAATATATTCTCGGTAAGCTTGTTAGCAAGGTTCAGTTCTTCTCCAACACTAAGACACTGGAATGAAATTAAGCATATATTTAGACACCTTCGAGGGACCATTGATATGAGATTGTTTTACTCAAATGAATCCAAGTCACAATTGATTGGTTATGCAGATGCAAGATATTTGTCTGATCCCCATAAATGTTGTTCGCAAACATGCTATTTATTTACATGTGGTGGTACATCTATATCATGTCGTTCAACAAAACAAACTATGGCTGCCACTTCTTCAAATCATGCAGAGTTAATAGTCATTCATGAAGCAAGTCGAGAATGTGTTTGGTTGAGTTGAAAAGAGATATTCCAACAATATTGTATTAAGACAATGCTGCATGTATAGCTCAACTAAAGAAAAGACACATTACAGGAGATAGAACAAAACATCTTTCACCAAATTCTTTTTTCATTCATGATCTGCAAAAGAAAGGTGATATAGATGTTCAACAAGTCCGTTCAAGTGATAATTCGGCAAATATGGCATTGCCGACTTCAACCGTTGAGAAATTGAGATACAAAATTGGAACGCGTCGTCTTCAAGTTATTAAATGATGTTTTCATTAGGGGGAGTAAATACGCGCTACACTCTTTTTTTCTTAACCAAGATTTTTGTTCCATTGAGTTTTTTCTTGATAAGGTTTTTAACGAGTCAGCAAACAATGTGTATTAAGAATAACTATTTACACTCTCTTTTCTTCTTCTAGATGTACATGGACATCCAAGGGGGAGTGTTATAAGTAATGAAATGTGGATGTCCTATAGCAAATCCACACTTCATGACTTTTAATGATTTAAGTATAATATATAGGGATTTAACTATGACTTTAAAGATTTTCTTCATGACTTTGAAGGATTAATAACACACTCCTACCTTATATATATTCCACCTATCTAATGAAGTTGTATACATGCATTGAAATATTGGAAGAAAAATATTACTGCTCTTTCTCTTCATTTTTTTCTTATTTAATTTCTAATACTTTATTTTATAACAGTATAGAGTTGTATTCACAAATGTGTATCAATAAAATCTCCAATTTCTATCATATTTTATTTATAACTGTAGTCAATTTCCATCGCCTTCTTTATTGCAAACAATAATGAAAAGTTCTTTTCCTATCCTTGAATATATTTGCACGTGAAAAGTGTTGAATGACATAATTGAGATATTTTATTAAAAATTAAAGTTGTAATTTTATGATTATACAGTTATAACATAGAATAGTGAATGATGATATTCTTAAAAATAGAAAATGGAATTAGTGGTTGCTATTAACAACCCATTGCATCATTTTGATATTGCACTTTCCAAGATTGGGTCAATAACACTTTTTCTTTTTTGGTTTTGGATAAAATAGTATTGTAATGTTGAGTCAGCACATCATAATTGATGTTTACCAATAAACACGCTCATATATATAATGTTGGAATGCACGTATGGTGATGGAGTGTCAATGTAGATAAGTTATCCTCACAGTCGCCCATAGCAGCGTACAACACACCGAATTTAGGGCAATCCTTTATCTTCTCCTTCTTCTCTACTTTTTCAAAAATCTATACCTTCAACATAAAGCAACTCTCTCTCTCTCCCTTATATGCAATAAATTTTAATTTTTGAATTCTCCAAACAGGGCAAAAGGAAAACAAACAAAAGGCCTGGATAGAGGCTTTAATATTGTTGGGTAGATAATTAATTCTACCTCACGTCTTTATCCATTTGCCTTGTTTTTTTCATTCTAATATGATGAGAAGGCAACAGGATCAACAATCTAAGGTTTTAGAACAACTTTCTTCTTTGATTTTAAATATTATACGATCACCACCGGCGCCGATTGAGTGTTACGATGATTCCTCAATGTCTCCATCCTCTTCAGGGAGGAGGATGGCTGTCGCTGGGTCGATGCAGCAAATTACTCCGGCCGGATTTGCATCTCTGCTTTTGGGGATTTCTTTTGCTTTGATGATTTGTGGATCCGTCACTTTCTTTATTGGCTTTTTAATGATGCCATGGGTGCTTGCTTTGGTTATGCTCTTTTATGTTGCTGGAATTGTTTACAGTTTGACTATGATTGGACGAGCTATTTTCTCTCATTTATCTTCTCCCTCCTCACCAAGAAAAGATTTTCACTGTAAGATTTCAATCTCTTTACAATTTTGTTGACAGAGTTCAGTTAGCTAGGTTTGCACATATTATGGTTTCAACAGATAAATACCCTATTTTATGTCCTTCTAATAGTTGAATTAAATGGGAACGATGTAGAATTTTTGACTTATACATTAATCGAGGAGCTTGGCTTGGACAGTAGTAAACGATTATTTGGAACTGGATCTTGTATTTTTTCTGTACTGTGAAGATATCAATTTCCTTTTGAGGAATTTGCATTATGTTAAATTTGCAAAAGTTTAGGTTGTTTTCTTTTTTCACACTGCTTTGTAATGCTTTTACTTGAGCCGACCGTCTATCAGAAACAACCTCTCTACCTCACAAGGTAGGGTAAGGTTTGCAGACACACTATCCTCCTCAGACCCACTTGTGGGATTACATTGGGTATGTTCTTCTTGTTGTAAAGTTGCACAAGTTACTGCATGATCCAGATTTTATGCATATTTACGTACTATGTGAATAATCAAATACAACCATAGTTAAATTTGTACAATTTCAACTCAAGGTTCCAATCGGGAGACGGTTTGGATTACTTCTGGTAGTGAGAATTCTGTTTAAGGGCTTTATGTTTAGTATTAGAGTAGTAGTTGCGTGTGGATTTCATGGTATTTTAGTTTGACCTGACTTCTTGGGATTCTCTTTTGCATATATCAAATTGCGTAACACCACTTTTTTTATGATCAGGACACCGTATTGCTTGATATTTTCACATGGCTTATGCAGAAATAGTTGGAAGTATATCGCTAATAGACACAAGGTCAAAATGAGTTCGTGTTTAATATGTTTATTCTTGCAAGTTCGCTCTGGATGTAAATGAGGCTTTAAAATGAAAGACTTTTCATCATGTACTCGTAAGCTGTTAAAGTAAATTATCATTGTTAGAGTTGCATTTGCTTGGTGCTAGTTTAAAACACTTTATTCGCTTCCCCTTTCCATTAGCAGTCTCACTCCTATTGTGTTAGTATTATCATTCCTCCATTTTACTACTGCTGCTATTCCTTTTTTACTTTGGATCTCTATTTTTTGTTGTCAATAGTTTACTCTTCTTCACATTTTCTCAACATATCTCAAACTATTTTGAAAATGCTTTTCTCAAACCGATGGTCTTATCCCAAGTAACCTCTCTAACTTACCCTCGGTAGGCTTAAGGTCTGCTTAGACCCCTCCCTCACCAGATCCCATTTTAATGGGATCAAACTTCTTATGTTGTTGTATTGAGTTGCATTTGCATAGTCATATAAGCATACAGATTAGAGGTAAGACATGTATGGTTTTGAAAATACAATCTGTGGAAGGAATAATGGATTATTTCTTGTGAATCTAAAGGAGGGAAGGTTCAACAGTTCTTGGTACTTGAATTTTTTTTCCTTTAACAAGTCCACATTTTGTTTTACCTACAACAATAACAACATATCCACTGTAATCCTATATGTGGGGTCACTTTGTTTACCTACTTGAGAATAAAACCTTTTTTTATGATTGCGATTACTGAGTGTACAGTAGGTCATTAGATTTATATGTGACCTCTAAGGAGCTGTATGAGGCGATAATCTCACGTATGGTTCTTGACTTATTTCTTTTCCAGCAACAAATAGCTTCACAGTATGTGGGCTTTTATGAGTGTTTCATTGTTAAGCATTGTCATGATTTTTTCAATCCATCTGTCTAGAAAATGTTACAATGGATGTATATTGAAGTTGCTCAAGTCTTTGCTTCGATTAAGTCACAAGTATTCTGTTAATTTGGAAAGAAACCTTAGTATACCTATGAACTAAGGTACTCATAAGAAACCTGTTTTAAAGTAGAAATCAGCTTAACCTGTTTTTGGACATTCATACTCATTTTTTAAATTTTACTGTAGTAATCTAGCTTTATACTGCATTTTGTTTTGTTCTTCCACTGGTTGTCTTTTCTTGTCAAGGATGGCTGGTGGGGGGGTTTTGAGACACTCTGCTCTGCCCCCTTATATGTGATTTTCCAGGATGTAGTCCCAGAATTCCTCTTCACCCCATTCCTTGAATTTTTAATTGCAGACTGGAAACTTTTCTGAAGCAATTTAAACACTTGAATGGTGATTGATTGTTACTACGTCATAAGATGGAAGCTTCCCGGCAATGTTTAGAGAATGGATGCAGGAATGTCGATATTAATGAAATGAGGATATTGGAAGGTGATCTTTCGGAGTGGAGCAGGAAATAACTTGAGGATGGATGTATATTTTTAGTTATTACGTAGAGAGAAGGAAGCTCAAAATTTCTGTGCCTTGATGTTTTCCTATCTCAGTACACTGTTCCTTGAGAGATGTAGAAACAGTAGTTCATTGTTTCATCCATGAAGTAACATTATCCTTGTGAATATTTCCTCAATGTATGAGCGAACACGTTACATGTCTATGGGAAAATATAGTGAATGACATTGCTCTGAATTTGACAACTGCAACCTTCGTTCGCTTATATGCGTTTTCCCTTTGCATATTAACATCTTAGGTACGCCCTACACCCTATCACACATTACATGATTGTCTCTACCACTTTTGGCTGCTCTCAACACTATCATCTAGCTTCGTTTTATGTTTGGATTGGTTAAAATATTTTGAAAATTATTTTCTTTGAGAAAATACTTAAGATATGAGGAAATTCTAAACAAATAAGAAATAAATAAGTTTCATAAGTGACAATTTATGTTCATTGTCGCATCACCGTTCCAAATCCTATCTTATTTCGATAGTGTTTTGCTAAATTAAATATAAATATTCTTAGGACAATACTTTCAATTACTTTTCAAATGCTAAAATTAAATACTCTCCTTGTTTCAATTTGTTTGTCCTATTTATATTTGACACGAAATTTAATAAATTAAAGAATTTTTTTGTATCATGCCATCTTAAATACTAAAATGTTCTTTAATTTTATTGTCTTTCAACATGTCACACAAAAAGTAGGGATTAAAGAATCGCCAAAAAATATATTTTTTTTAACGAACTCAAAAGGAAAATAGATCAAATAAACTAAAACACATCAAATAAAATAAAAACTCAATTATTTTTCACGAAAAAAATTATAAAAAATATTTTCGTTCGTACGAACATGCCCATTAATATACATTTTAACAAATATCTCCTTTAACCTACACAAAGATGTTTGGAGTAACTTCTCTGAAAAATTTAATTATGACGTGCTAAAGACATTTCCCACTCTTTGCCATTTCGAGCATGACAACCAATGGAATTTGGACACGTATGTAAGGTGATACGGTTTTGACATAATTCTCCCACTATGGGCTGGATTGGGACGCCTTTTTAATTTTTTTTTGAAATCTATCTGTTACACAACTTCGTCATTTGCCTAGGGGCAGTCGCACCGTAAATTTGAATCACCGAAGACTTCAATCTGCTCCATTGGGAGTTCGGAACCTATTTGAGTTATAAAGAGATAAAAGTAATCAAAATAAGCTATTATTTTAGAAAGAAATTAAAATAGATTAGTGTAATTTTTTCTTCTATTTTACCGAAAAATATAAACAGCAAACGTTAGTATGTTAACGTCTGTATTTTAACATAAAACAATTTTTTTTTCCACTTTATAAAGTGTAACTTTTTCTTACACTTTATAAGAAAAGTTAACTTTCCCAAAATCTTTTCACTTTCATCTTCTCAAAATCAATTTGATAACTCTTCACTGGTCCCTGATCCGACAAACCAATCGCCCCACAACAAAAATCGAATTCTCAAAAGATTGGAGATACGTAGCACAACCCAACAATCCGGCCCTACAATTTTTTTTAAAGTTATTTATTTCTTTTCATCTTATATTTATTGATCCTTGATTAATAAATAAATTAGTGAAAGATTTGAAATGATATTGTTGTTCTAATTTATTTAAAATTTTGTTTATATATAGTTAAAATCAAAAGGATGATTTTTCTCTTAGAATAAGTGCTAATATTTTGTGAAGTAGTAATCTAGACTTGAGGAGAATTGTAACACCTCGCTATTTGAAAGCACTAGAAAGAGCTAGAATTTGAAAGAACCCGTTTTTGGAAATAATCAAATTTGAAAAGTTTGACAAGTTAAGCTAAGTATGAGTTTTAGGTCAACTTTAAACTACAATAACTCCTAGCACATGATGAGTTAGGTGGACTACACGATACCGTAGGAAATATCTTTGAATTATCATTCCAACACCATTGAGTTTTCTCATTTTCGAGTTCGTATGAGGGAGATATGCCCATTTGAAGTCGGGCTGTCTAGATAAGGAAAGTCAAAACCAGATTTTAGAAGGGTACTATGGTCTTTTCACTACCCAATTAATTAAATTAGTTTTTGATAATTAAATTGGGGTCTAAACTGAATTAGTTCAGTTTACACAATTGAAAATCACGCTAGGGTTTTTAGAGAAAGAACTCAAGAGGAGAAAGAAGAAGAAAATGTCTAGATTCTTGAGGAATTGATTGCGGATTTCGCCAAGGATTTGATCCTACGAGGTATGTGAGTTCACATAGCGTTGCGTTTGTTCACCCACGCGCCAAACATATTTATTTTAGTGTAGTTTTCGTCCTAAAAGATTGAGGATTTGATGTTCTTGAGTTGTGTTCTTGAATTGCTTTCATTCTTGAACTTATATTGGATTGATGAGTTTCTTGAGACGTTTTTTTGTCTATTTCAAGAGTTGTTTTGAGTTAGATTCTTGTGTGCATGTTTTGGGTATCTAAATATAAAGAAATATTGAGAAAAGAATAGAAATTAATCGAATAAAGGTATGAAAACGAGAGGAAAAATTCGTCAGATTTGACTGGGGGGATGCTGGCATGGCGCGCCCCCGTAGCGCCAAGAAGGCTGGGGCGGCGCGCCAACAGTGCGCCAGAAATGTCTCTCTGAACTTTGGGGCTGGTGCGGCGCGCCAGGGTCATCCGCCCCAACCCATTTTTCGTCGTTTAGCTCGTTTGAGTCCTTCTAAAGTGTACTAACACTTCCTATTGATTATAACTACTCTAAATGACTTCTAAACACCTAGAAATCATCCATAAACATGAATCGTATTCATAACCTTGAATCCATAAATTTAAATTCAAGGAAAGTTAAGAGCCAAGTCTAGAAAGTTCTTAGAGTCCTTTCAATAAGCCTTTTACAAATGTTTTAATCTTGTTTTAAGACTTGAGTTTTGAGTTAAGTAAGAGTAACAAATGAAGTTTATTTCTTCAAAAAGAGTATATGAGAACTAAGTATTCCCAAAGAGTAAATGTTTTCACATTTAAACAAGAGAGGGAACACTGATTTCCAAGAAAGCCTTTGAGATAGTTTTTGAGTAATTATCTCAAACCACAGAAAGAGTTTTTGTTTTTAAACATATGAGCTGAGTATTTTAGGAGTAGTATTTAGCACCAACGTGGGGATGAGTTCATAACAACTCAATGTCTCCATAAACTATGTAGCCAACGTGGGTAGAAAGGGTCATACTTTTTAGATGATTCCTTAATGGTTTTTAGCATAGACTAGTAGATCCACTTAGTTGAGGCATTCTATATCCCGTCAAGTTATAGGACAGTTCTGGCAGGGTGAGCGAAACACTGTATCATCACATAGCTCATAATGATGGTCTACGATTAGAGAATCTCCCAAACAAAATTTGTTTTTGTATTCTTATATACAACAAAGATATTATGGTATTTTACAATACTTTGAGATGTCATCTACTGTTTTAAATGCTTCATATAAATTGCACATTTACTGTTGTTTATTTCTGCATTGAGTTGAGTATCCATGAGTTGAGTAAAGTTGAGGTAAGTGTTTATTTCAGATTCCAGTTCAAGCTTATGTATTGCTGATGCAAATACAGGTAATCAAGATCAACATCCAGCGCCTGGTTGATCCAGTTGAGCATTCAGAGTCGTTTCATGACTCCTTGCTTTCTGGAGGATCCCTGTTTACATTGTTTTAGTATTTCAGTTGTTAGGATGATAGGGGGTCTTGTCCCGACATCCCTCATAGTTTAGAGGCTTCATAGACTGCTAGTTAGTTCATTTGTCTTTACATTTCCTTTCTGTTACATTGAGACTTGATTTTGCCTTTATGGCCAGTTGAATATTAACATTCTAGTTTATTTCATGGATTTATCTTTGTTGAGTAAAGTCTTTCCCTGAGTAGTAAGCCAAGCCAAGGGTTCGCTTGGGGCCATCAATGGTTCTCAAGTGCCAGTCCTGCCCAATGTGTAGGCTCGAGTTGTGACAAACTTGGTATCAGAGCACAAAGTTCAAGAGTCCTAGGGAGTCTATGAAGCCATGTCTGTAGAGTCCTAGTTGTTAGTGTGAAGTTCGCTACATCTATAATTAGGAGGCTACAACATTTAGGAACTATCTCACTTCATTCATATTCATTTCGTGTGATATAGTTAATATTTATAAGGTTTCCTTCGAACTCGTGCTTGCGCATGTCTTTCAGATCATGCCTCCACGAAGAGCTGTCAGAGGTTGTCCTGGTAGGAGGAATGTCGAGGAACAAGGGGTATCAACTACACACCTGAAGTGCAACCCAAAGAGAGGTCACCAATACTGAGTTCAGGGAAGTGATCATAATTTATAGTTAAGCCGTGACCAATCTAGTTGGACAGAGAGAAAACCGACAGGAAGTGAATGATGCTTCAAGGATCCATGAGTTTCTAGGGATGAATCCTCCAAGTTTCACTGGTTCAAGTACTATTGAGGATCCGTAAAACTTTATTGAGGAACTGCATAAGGTGTTTGAGGTTATGCACGTTGCCGATGCTAAGCGAGTGGAACTAGCTGCATATCAACTAAAGAGTGTTGCTAGGACTTGGTTGGACTAGTGGAAGAAGGGTAGAGCTGAGGGTGCACCGATTTTTAGTTGGGCTAGGTTTGAGAAGGCCTTCTTGGAGCGCTTTTTTCCCCGTGAACTGAGAGAAGCCAAGGTACGAGAATTCCTTAGCCTTAAGCAGAAACCTATGAGTATTCATGAGTACAGGTTGAAGTTCACCCAACTTTCCCGATATGGTTCGAAGATGGTTGCTGATATTAGCAGCAAGATGAGTCTGTTTGTTGCTGGGTTGTCTCGTCTGTCAAGTAAGGAGGGAAAGGCAGCGATGCTAATAGGGACATGGACATAGCGAGAGTTATGGTTTATGTGTAGCAGGTTGAGGAAGAGAAGTTGTGGGATAGTGAAAAATTTATAAATAAGAAAGCTAAGACAGGGAATAAGTCTGGGCAGGAAAAGAGTAATGTGAACCGGTCTTCCTTTCAACAAAAGCAAAAGGGACCTGCTCCATCATCTGCTAGTGCACCTGCACCAAGGAACAAATGTGAGTATAATAGTTAGAATTCGCAGAATTTTATAGCTAGACCTGCTCAGTCTCAGGGTAGTGTGGCAAAAAGGGGTAATTGGGCTCCTACATGTGCTAAGTG